TTTGCTCGGGTCCCGCACTTCCTGTGCTCCTGCCCGAGGTCCCCTCCCCCCACCCCTCCCGCCCCTGCTGCGCCCGCCACCAGCTTCCCTCCGCGCGCACGGAAGTGGCGTCGGAGGGAGGAACAGCGCCGCCCTTCGGCCAGGGGAGGCACAGCACCCCCCGCTGTTCTCTACAAGGACTGGCAAATGGGTTCTGTACCCGCTAGGCTTTATGTCCATTGTACAGGTGGAAGAATTGAGACCCCCCCCGCAACGCGAAAATGCGGGTTCCACCTCGTCTCTGTACTCGACAACACTGAGAGTGGACTTGCTGCTGCTTTTCCTGTGGGTTATGGCCACAGATACTTCCTGGCCAAGACCTTCACCCCTCCTACCCCCACTTTTTTACATATTTGAATAATATCAGCAGCTTGCAGATATTTTAGGATGCAAAATACCTTTAAATCAAGAAACGAAGTCGCTTGGTTTGTTAGATAGGTAAAGCTGGGCCCTATTGTGTTCTTTGTACCTTTGAACAAAAACAGTATGAATACTTCATGATGCTATTTGAGACCTGAGACCTTAAACAACCAGACTTGCTTTGGGTAATTTTTTTCCAGTTTGCATCGGATAGGTAATATGTCCCGTAGGTCTTCTGTTAACAAATCCAGTCAAGAGTATCTTGGCACAACTCAACACTTGAAGTATTAAGAAGCTGGACTACTAGGTAAATCTTAGAAGAGGAATTAGATTCTTTCTGGATCTTGAAGAACTGGACGCTAAAGGACAGTGGATAGTGAGGGGACAAATACAAAAAGAGAGAAGAAAAGGAGAGACAGCCAGCTTTAATCAATAGGAGAGAGGAAGTCAGGGCTATAGGGAGAAAGTCCAAGAATGAGGATGCAGAAATTAGGCTGTTGCAACATGGAAAATAGGTCCAAAGAAGATTTATATGGCAAGAGCATCCAGAGTGGCTGAAAATAACTACATACATAAGGATATCAGCTGGGAAGTTGGAAGTTGGTAATGTTCTAATATAGAAAAAAAAGTAAGGCCCCGTCATTTGGTAGGGAGAATCAAAAAGAAAGAAATGTACAAACTATTTTAAAAGACAATATATCTGAATTTAAGTGATTTTGTTTTCAGCCCTTGCAGAGACAATTCCTGGAAGCTAGGGAAATGATTATGCTATTTACAGAAAATGGAAAAGTTAAGAAAAGTGAACTAAGTTCCTTTACTAATTTTTTTAGTGTATTTTCCTTTATTCCTGCACCATCTCTACCTGCATTACTCTGTTCCTTTCCCCAAGATTAGTAACTATAGTGTGCTTTAAATAAACCTTATCAAAATAATACTGTGATTTTGTGTTTTCTAAAGGCATATGCTATATATATGTACTTATGATATGTAATTATCACATATTTATTATATGTGTGTGTTTCTTGAGATTGAACCAGGTTCTTACTCATTCTAGGCAAGTGCTCTACCACTGGACTACACCCTGAGCCCATATAAACTCAAAATACAAAAAGGAATTCATATATGAGATCCCAGAACAGAGCATTAAGGAAAAGGAGCTAAGTTCTAAAGAACACAAAAGATCCAGGTGAAGGCACACTTAAATACATGTAAAAAAAAAAAAAACCCAGGAAGTGATTACATGCTTATATTTCACCATAATGCCAAAACTTAAAAATCATGCTCTTGGCCAAGTACTGTCCTGGACATTGTAGACTTCAGCCTTTGTAAACTATAAAAAGTCTAGAGGAGAGGAAAAACTGAAGGGAAATGAAAGAAGGGTTGACATTGTCCAAAAGGAAATGTACTCTTTACCTGACATATGAAACAGTAACTCCTCTGTACAATACCTTAACAATAACAATTTAAAAAGTGCAAAAGTCTAGAAGAAGGTAGTATCTCTACACACAGTCTTTGTTATCTTTCTCATAACATTTGTTACATGATATTGGAAGGTATACTCTTGGAACATGGGGAGACAAAAGCCTTGAAAGGCTTCAAAAATGCTGTGTAAAGACCAAGTATAGAGGTAATCCTGTAATCCCAGCTACCCTGGAGGTGGAGGCAAAAAAATCCAGGGTTCAAGGCCAGCCTGGGAAAAATTTAGAAAGATCCTGTCTCAAAAAATTTTAGGCCGGGCTCTGGTGGCTCACGCCTGTAATCCTAGCTACTCAGGAGGCTGAGATCTGAGGATCACGGTTCAAAGCCAGCCCGGGCAGGAGAGACCGTGAGACTCCTATCTCCAATAAACCACCAGAAAACTGGAAGTGGTAGAACACTCGCCTTGAGCTGAAGAGCTGAGGGACAGCACCCAGGCCCAGAGTTCAAGCCCCACGACCGACAAAAAACGGGCTGGGAAGGTGGCTCAGTGGTAGAGCACTTGCCTTGCATGCATGAGGCCCTGGGTTCGATTCCTCAGCACCACATAAGCAAAAAGAAAAAAGCTGAAAGTGGCGCTGTGGCTCAAGTGGTAGAGTGCTAGCCTTGAGCTGAAGAGCTGAGGAACAGGGCCCAGGCCCAGAGTTCAGGCCCACGACCAGACCCAAAAAAATAAAAATAAAAAAAAATTAAAATACAAAAGGGCTGGGGTGGGGGGCAGTGTGCATGGGTCAAGTGGTAGAGTGCTTGCTTAGCATGCACAAGACCTTGGGTTTGATTCCCCACTCCCACACACAAAAAGAAGTGATAGTGGTGGCTCACACCTCTAATACTAGGTACTCAAGAGGATGAGATCTAAGGAGCACAGTTCAAAGCCAGACTGGGCAAGAAAGTCCAGGAGACTCTTATCTTCAGTTAACCATCAAAAAGCCAGAAGTGGAGGTATGGCTCAAGTGGAAGAGCATCAGCCTTGAGTGAAAAAGCTAGTACTCTACACTTTTAGCCACAGCACCACTTTCAGCTTTTTCTGCTTATGTGGTGCTGAGGAATTGAACCCAGGGCCTCATGCATGAAAGTCAAGTACTCTACCACTGAGCCACCTTCCCAGCCCCATTTAGGAAATTTTGAAACATAAAATTCAAAATAAAAATAAAAATAAGCCAAGTGTTACAGGCTCACATCTGTATTCCTAACTACTTAGGAGACTGAAATCTGAGGATCGAGGTTTGAAGCCAGACCAGACAGGAAAAGTCCAAGAGATCCTCATTTCTAATTAACCACTCAGAAAAAGCGGGAAGTGGTGCTGTGTGGCTCAGGAGGTAGAGTGCTAGGCTTGAGCAAAAAGAGCTCAGGGACAGTGCCCAGGACCGGAGCTCAAGCCCCAGGACTGGCCTAAAATAAAAAATAAATTGCCCAACAGGCACTGGTGGCTCACAGCTACAATCCTAAGTACTCAGGAAGCTGAGATCTGATGATCACACAGTTCAAAGCCAGCCAGACCAGGAAAGTCTGTGAGACTCTTATCTCTAATTAACCACCAGAAAACCTGAAGTGGTGCTGTGACTCAAAGTGTTAGAGTGTTAGCCTTGAGCAAAATAGCTCAAGGACAGCACCCAAGACCAGAGCTCAAACCCCACTACAACTAACTAACTAAATAAATAAATAAATTTCCTGTGTTTTTTTCCTACACCCCTGTCAACTACATGTCTCTTTCTGTATCCTTTTGTATTTTTCAGAGTGTCATTCAATTGGAATTATATAGCATATATCCCTTTCAGATCAGCTCATTCATTTGCTCATTCATATGCACTAAAGATTCCTCTTTGGCTTTAGTATCTCATTTTTTAATGAGATACTATAATAAATGAGATACTATAATAAATGAGATACTATAATAACATTAAATTGTCTGGATATACCACAGCTTATTTATCCAGCTGCCTACTGAAGGACCTCTTGATTGCTTCCAAAGTTTTTGTTTGCTTTTGTTTTAGTGCTGGGGTTGAACCTAGGCCCCTGTGCATGCTAAGCATGTGTTTTACCGCTACATATACGCCAAGCTCCCTGCTTCCAAATTCTGTTTGTTTCTTAATGTCTTTTTTATAACGGTACTGGGGTTTGAACTTAAGGTCTTATGCTTGCACCACAGACATTCTACCACTTAAACTGAAACCTCACTGGTAAGTCTTAACAGTTTATGAACGAAGCAGCTATGAGAACTGATGTGAAGGTTTTTGTGTGGGCTTCAGGTCTTTCGTCAGATTTTGGGAGGGGATTTTGTTTTTTAGTCAAGGATTGATTTTCTTTCTTTCTTTTTTTTTTTTTTGTCAGTTGTAGGGCTTGAACTCTTGGCCTGGGCACTGTCCCTCAGATCTTCAGCTCAAGGCTAGTGCTCTACCACTTAAGCTACAGCGCCACTTCCAATTTTCTGGTGGTTAATTGGAGAAAAGAGTTTCACGGACTTTCCTGCCTGAGCTAGCTTTGAACGGTGATCCTCAGATCTCAGCCTCAGCCTCCTGAGTAGCTAGGATTACAGGCATGAGCCACAGGTACCTGGCAAGGATTGATTTTCTAATTAATGGATTGTAAAAGTTCTTTGCATATTTTACTAACAGTATGAGATATATCTTTTGTTTAAGTATTTTCTCCATCTAGGGAACTTGGAAAATTTCATATGCACAGGCTATTCCTTAGATCAGCATTTCAGTC